ATGTCACACATTAGTTATGTATCACATATACACTACCAACAGAAGCTCATTAAACTGTCGGACATGTACGTCAAAATTTACTGAAGTTCCCATTTGCTGTACTGTAAAAAATAGTACCTTGTAAAGTATAATGAAAGTATACTAAAATAACCTTAGTTCAGACCTGGTAAATGAAAAATGTAAATCGCATTGTAGTTTTGATTATTTTGATAAATGGCTATATAACTAGGAATGGTTAATGGTAGTAGATAATGTTTGCAATCGCCCAGAAAAGAAACTGAAAAATGTTATGAAGCATACTACTTGATTGAAACAAAATAATAGGATCAAGTATTCTGAGAATGGCTATTTCCTTGAGATGTTTAGGACTGAACAGCGGCGTGTCCAGCTTTTGATGTCGGGGGGGGGGGGGTGGAATGAAAGTCTGAGTCACCGGCTTTTTCAGTATTTTATGTCGGGGGGGGGGGGGCAAATCAAAAGGCTTAGTGTTATTTTTTTTTGGGGGGGGGGCTTAGTTTTCTTTCTTTGTCGTTCGTTTCACACCTCTCCATACAATTTATAAAAATACTATAACAAAAAATTAATGAAAACAATCGGCCAAGGGGTGCCTGACTAAACTTAGTGCAAATTATTATGGGATACCAGAAAGGCCACATCAAGCTTATTCTCGTTCATAACCCCATCTTAAAACACGTTAAAATTGTGCAGCAGTAGGATTCCAGTCAAACCAGTGAGTTTGGCGGTTTTGAAACATCATCTTTCATTGAAAAAAAAAATTCATTTCGCCGACGCGCATGGCTACGGCGACGCGCGCGCATACCAGAAACCGGAGACTTTTTTGTTTTTGCCTTATCTACTAGTACGCAGAAATATGCTAAATTGAGCGGTTTTTGGCTTAAACATTTTTTTGCATCGCTTTATATTTGTTCATTTTTTATTTGTTTGCTAATGTACAACAGCCACCAATAATTAAATATGTATAAACAATTGCTTGAGTTTTAATCAATTAGTTACAGTTTTCTTAGGTTGTCAGGTGAATGGTATGGTTGTTGTGAAACAGTTAGAAATAGAGATCATTCAAATTATTGGGGAAAATGTGCCTCGTTCTTTCTATTTGTCTATGTGGTTCAACAGTATTAACATAAGAACTGAATATTCTATTGCGACTTTCATTCATGTAAATCTGCGGATCGGATACGAATCACTTCGTGCCAGCAGTGGCGGATATCGGGCCTCGGGGCGGGGGTTTGAAACACCCCTAGCTGTTCAGCCGCTGTCTGATGTCATGATGCTAGTAAAATGGGGCCCAAAATAATAAATGTAATCAAACATCCCAACTTAATTCCTGGATTCCCCATGACTCTCTCTCTCAAGCCTTTATCAGCCCATTCACATCACCCCGGTTTCTGAAAGCAAGATTGCTGCTGACTGCTCCATTTTGCCTTTCACCAACCGAGAAAAATAATTATAACAACGCATCGACGCCTATTGGAATGTTCCATAATATCATACATTGTCTATTTGTTTTGACAGTCATACATGCAAGCATGCACTGAGAAAGACGTCAATCGTCATTTTACTCGTCCCCTTTCAACTACCCCGTTCTAAGACTCTGTTTCTGAGAATCTACAGACCCGTTTCAGGTTATAGCATAATGCATGCTCGTGCAAACACTGATAAAAACATTTTGAAAATAATGAGAAAAGTTCTTTATTATTATTCCACTTTATCAGCGAGATAAAAAAAAATCACCATTCCTGCTGCTACACGCAGCATTCACACTGCTTTTATGTGGCCGTTTGAAGTTATTCTGAACCCCAGGATCTATATTGTTTATGCTGAATATAGCTCACATGAACTTTTGGACCGTAAAGAACGTTTTTCTGCGGGAGGCAGTTTTACCATCTGACATGAATTTTCTCGACTTTCTCAGAAACTTCCAGCCCGGCCTCCGTTTGATAGACACGTTTGATTTCCTCGTCTCGGAAAAACTGAAATACTATTCGACAGGCAGAAGACATGGGGAACTTTTCTGCGTTTGTAGGTAGGCTAATTGACATGTCTGTGCCTAAATAAGGCAACACGTCGTGATCGGCTGGACCGCGGCAGGTATATGCAAACAGCCATCGTGTATGGATTCTAGGTTCGTGGAATACCTGTTCTTGGGACAAAAACAGGGATTTCGAAGAGTAGAATATATCATAGAATTGGAAGAGTATTTATTAAGCAAATGCTTACGGTGAGCTAATGACTTCAGATCCATATTAAATATGCTAAATGTATTTTTGTGCCAAAAAAACCCTAATCTTTACAAATTATAATTGCCTGAGATTATTAAAGTTGCAAATAGACTATAAAAGAGACAGCAAAATCCGTCTTATTATTATTTTTTTTTACAGTTCATGGTTCAGCGGCAATGATAACCAAACAGTCTTACTCCGTCATTCACCTCAAGTACTCAGTACAATTGCTACCACGATTATCATGTTCAAAAGAGTTGGATACTGGATTATTCTCCTTCGCTGACCCAAAATCAAAACGTATTGTAATAAATTATTCTTATTTTTGAAAAAAAGAATCAACAATCTACTCTTTTCCCTATTTAAAGAACCAAAACAGCCGTCATTGTATACACGGAGACTGCGGTAAACAAGTCACACATCCACAAAGCAAGCCTGTTTTACAGGAGCTCGATGCCTTTTAGAGACCCTTGTACACCGGCGGTCTGACACTTTGATTGAAAAAAAAACGAAAAAGAAAGTTCGTGGCCGCATGAAGGGCGTAAAGGGATTTGAGGTCAAGTACGTTTATTGTTAGCATTTTAGTTGTGTCTATGTATGTGTGCTGCGCACAATAACATAGGGCATATGCCGATTGCACAATGATGGAGTATTTCACTTAATGTTTGTACAAGCACGAAAAAACAGCACGCCTTTTATCGACAGCCAAATAAGCCAGGAACGTTGAAATCAGTTCGGGGAGAATTTATGTTTGCATATGTACAGTAATCAAATAACCATAGCGTATTTATTTTTTTGTCAGAAGTAGTGAGTTTTAGGGGGATAGTTTTCCGTGAACTTATACTGCAATTAACCCAAATTCCTTTTCCTTCAGTTTTATTATTTCAATGAGGGTGCTCCAAATCCAACTGACACAATCATCCAACCATCGCCTTGAAAACAAAATCGTGAACTTCAGCTACAAAGTATTAGAAAAGAAAAAAAACAATAGAAATTGGACTATGCCAATGTGCAAGTGAATGAGCTAAATCCGGCCGGCTGCATGGAATAGGTATAGGCCTACTTTAAATTTACACGGAGCTACTGTTCACTAAATTAAACAAAAATGAGGATGAAACTATGACCAAATTTCAGAGATTACTTCCACGTCCATTCGTGTTCAGACGGATCCTCATTTGTTGAACTCGCATTATGACCTAATCCAACACCCACCCATGGGCGTAGCCAGCGGGGGTGGGTGGGTGTGTGTGTGTGGGGGGGGGGGGGGGTTAAGGGGGTATTGATGCCCCCATTTTTTGTGTAAAGACTGTTCTTTTTCCATTAAAGTGTCGTGTTTTCATCAGCGTTTACCCCCCTCCCCCACAAAAATAAACATTTGCGAGTGCCCCCTTTTTAAAGGAGTGCTCTTCTCCCAAACTTTTGCCCCTTTTGCCAATTCCAGCATGACTTGTGTCGCCCTGAAAAGCACCATATATTGTCCGTTAGTTTGCATAATTGTCTGTTTTGAACAGTTCTGAAAAAAATGGTACCAGCCCCCCGTTATCTGCAACGCAGAACTATGCTAAAGTGACAGGCTTTGACTTAAATTTTTAATTAAAGTTATTACTTTATGTGTTCATGATTAGTTGATTGTGTATACACGACAGCCACCAATTAGCAATTGCCTAAGATGAGCTATATTTTAAAAATCAACATAATTTTTTTAGAAACAATTATTGCTTGATTTTAATTCACAACGATATTTTGTTTTGTTGTCAAGTCAATACCATGATTATTGTGAAGGACTAAGAATTTGAGGGTAAAAAAGATTAAAGTGAAAACATGTGTCTATTATTTTCAGTCTGCAGTCGGTATTGACATTGGAACTTGTTATTCTATTGCGACATTCATTCAAGTGCATCTGCTGATCACGTGCGAATCACTCGTCACTACCAATGGCAGATCACAACCGCTGATTAATGTCAAACTAGTAAAATGGGGTCAAATAATTATAATAAATGGAATGCTAAAGTGCCTGAATTAATTGCCGAAAAGCCTAAGGATACAAGGGTGGGGGTGGGGGGGGGGGGGGCAAGCCTCATGACCCAACCCCGCCCACCCCACCCCAGCCTTCACTCGGCACAAACCTTTCACTAACCCCCACCCTACATATGAATTTCCCTTACTCGGTTTCCTGAAGCTAAATCCTACCTGTCTACATTCTTCGCTTAACCGACCAAAGTTTAAAAACTAAAATAATTAAAACGATGTACGCCTATTGATGGTCCATATTGTTTTGACTGCCTACGATTGTTCCATATGTTTTGACAGTCGGTGAAATAGACCAATTAACCTTTTAAAAAGGAACTCCTCCCTTTTAAATAGGAACTCGTCCTTCGTCCCTCGTACATTTCGAAAAAGTCCCATGGATCAGATTGACCCTGAATCAGGGTTTGAGCTGGCCTGACACTTTTCACTTTGTCAAAAATGACACTTTTGTGTGGTCAAATGGCGCTTCCCTGACCAATTTCTGGGGCCATTTGATTCGACAACCATGGCAAAAGTCATATTGACCCGACAAAGTGTCAGACCAAAGAGAACCCATGTTCCGGGTCAAATCGGACCTGGGACTGTCTGTAGTGTACCTTGTGCTTAGGACCCTTTGATTTTGTTTTAGACATCCACGGCCCTGTTTCATGTTACACTAAATGTTGAATCCACGTTGGCATGAGAAAAATGAGCTTCTGGATGAGCCGCCGTTTGATTGAGTATCCCATATCGCTTAGGCAAACAAATTTCCTGCGGCTCCAAATACAATCAGCATTCACGCACCTTTTTGGCCGTTGAAACCCTTTTTGTTCAAAACAATATGTCAGATCTTATACTTGTCACGAACTTACAACTTATTTTTGGGACGTTCTTTTTTGGGGGAATTCCAGTGCTGAATAATGATCTTTGGACTGCCATGTTAATGAATACTATAAGCGACGGCGTAGAAGGTAAACAGAAATGACGACACAGGGAGGTGATGGTGCAATTATGGGCCCAATATCAGTATGTTTGTATTGACAGATCCGTGATATTATTTGGGCAACATTAAATTTCAGCCTTTTGTGTGATCAGACGAATTAGTTTTCCTCGTCTCGTAAATACCAAAACCACAAGTCGTGCAGACAAGAGACATGGCAAGAAAGAACAATTTTGGGATTGTGGGTGACTGGCATTTGCCTTCATTTCCGGATATCTCAGCATTGGAAGACGAGTTATGCCTTGGCGATAGGCTGGAGTTTGACTGTGGCATATACGCACACTGGGGTATATACGTCGGTCGGTACCAGGATATGAGACATGCTGTCATCCACTTCGGTATGTTCGAAAAGCGGGCGGCATTCTCCAAAAAGAAGATATCAGGCAGTGCGTTTGCTGCCGGTCAAAAGCCCGAGATACGAGCTAATACGATTGGGATGATTCTCGGTGGTTCTGGCAAGGTTAGGATCAACAACTCAAGAGACCTTAAAGTGGAGCATTTGGATCCAGACGTCATCATTGAAACAGCTACGACCATGCACCGAGACAAAACACCGATTGATTACAATCTTATCGAGAATAACTGCGAGCACTTCGTGAATCTGTGTCGATATGACAAACCCCACAGTCAGCAAGCTGAAGATTTGGTGATTGGGGCCATGGGTTTGCTCGTCGGGGGAGCCATAGCCGGTGAGTATCTCAAGCTCTAACTTTTGCACACGCGGCAATGGTACAAGCCAAGCCTAGAACAGCTCGGCCCTGGGGTGGATCTTGCTTTGGCTCAGGGGAAGGAGCTAGGTATAGCTTTCAAGAGAGGGAGTATACAGGCATTTGGCACTTTTTTTCCTGCATGATTTGTCTTCTTTTTCCTTTTTACCAAATGGGTGTGGGGGTGGTAATTAGAATGTACAACCCCCGTTTATCCACCCCTATACTTGTGAGGGGAAAGGGGTAGCAGCCATACTTTTGAATGCGTAGAGGGCGGGGTTAGACAGAAGAAGTATTTTCATGCACGCATAATGTTCTGTACACAATGGGCTAGATTCATTTCTTTCTTTTGGCGTTGCCATACCATGTAATCCGACATGATAGCACTACCAAATACTCGTCATAAGTCTATAGTGAAACAATGAAACGGACAAACAAGATGAAATCAGGCGCGCCCTAGCTCCTGGACCAGCAATTCATCAGGCGCGGAGCAAGACAGACAATTAAGGCCAAAACTTTGAATGTTGCTGTTCATGCTATTCAGGTCAGTATAGCGTATCCAGCTTTGGATGTCAGGGGGCAACCGCATCATTCCGCACCGAAATGTAGACATGTTTTTTGTTTGTTTTTTTTCTCCAGACACTTGCCGTCCGTAAAATAAAAAAAGGTACCCTTCTTCCTCAATGAGGGGTGCTCTTCAAAACTGACCATCATTTTGCATACTGCAAATTATATACCCATTGTAATGGTTTTTGAGTGGGTTATCTTTTTTTTGGATTGACATCGGAACTCTCTTACCATTAATTGGAATAATGCCGAAAAAAATTGCGGAAGAAATCCACCAGGGCGTGGCAAAGTGCCCCCCCCCCCCGGTACGCCACTGATTGAGGTCTAAATTCATTTTCAATTTAAATAACCAATTGCTCGATTTATAATCATAGCTACGATTTTGGGAAGGCCAAAAAGGCACGAATGTCCACAATGAAGGGTAAAGCTTTTAATATATTTTTTTAGCCATCCGTTTTGATTTTTTTTTTTATTTACAGGTTTCATCATCAGGATGATAAGTCCCAGCACTCAACGCAGATAATCCTCTGTCTTTTCAACTTATTCTCATGGAATACTACCGTAATTGAGCTGGTATAGAATGCCACGGAGAGTGATCCACCAAATTATTAACGAACAGAGGCACTATTTATGTATAATATAGGATGGTGTGGTAAGGATGACAACAAAACCTAGTGGTAAATGAAGAGTATTGGAAATGGAGCTTATAATAAAAGGCTAATATAAACCAGAAAAGAACTCGCAATTTCAGTGCTAAATATCAATTTTGAATAGACAATATTTTACAGTTCAAAGCCATTTTTAAAAATGAGGAAAAGAATCACATTAAAAAACAGAAATACATTTTAACTAGAGCGAAAATGCACATTAAAACATTCCTGTGTAAGAATGTAAGCCTTTGTGTAAAACGAAAATCACGTTCACAACTACGTCAATGTGTTATTATAGCTTTGATTTTGCAATCTGTATGGATATATGCTTACTGCTGAATTATATAAATTAGATAAATGTTGTAAATAATGACCTTTTGCCCACAATTTCAGGTAGGCACCTGGTATAGTTAAACGCAAGAGAAATTGCATTGTAAACGTAGGCAAGATTTACCACGAACATTTTAAAAATTCTAACCTATTTCTTTCTCTTCCCATAATACCCGAGAGCTACAATGAGCAAACGCTTGCGATAAGTTAATTCATGACTTCAGATCCATATTAAATTTGGAGTGCAAAAACCCAAATTTTTGCAAATTTTGATTGCCTGAGTTTTCAAAAGTTGCAAAAATGCGACGAATGTACGTTTAATATTTGTTTTTATATAGTTTATGGTTCAGCTGAAATGATATCCGTACAGTCTTGTTACATTTATTGAAAGTACTCGGTGCAATAGTAACAACACTTATCAGGTTCCAATGACTTTGCCGGATTCTTCCCCGAAGCAGACCTTAACTTAAATGTCATCTTAATATTTGTTTATTTGAAGAGACTCAGCAATCTACGGTCGTTCCTTTTTAACAAAACAAAATTAACCCAAAACACATACGAGTTCGTCATGTGATAAGTGAAAACGCGGAGACTGCAGTAAACAAGTCATACTTCCTTAAAAAGCAAACGTGTTGAATAGGAACTCGATGCCTTTTAAAGACCCGTGTACACCAGCTCACAAAAACGTTCATGGCTGCATGAATCACGAATGGCGTATAAATGAACTTGAGGTTGAGTTCATTTATTTTTAGCATTTCAATTGTGTCCGTGTGCGTGTGGTGCGCACAATAGAGCCTCTGCCAATTGCAAATGGTGGGGAATTCAATATGATGTTTGTCCAAGCAAGAAAAAAAAGAAAAAAGTTTGACATCAGTGCTGGGAGACTTAATGTATGCAAATTTACAGCAATCAAATAACCAGTCGTGTTTATTTTGTTTTCTTCAGAACTGAGGAGAGTTAGGACTATTCTTTTCTATCGGCTGGAAATTGACCTGAGGTCCTTTTCCTTTAGTTCTGTTATTTCAATGAGGGTGTTCCATTATTTCTATGAGGGCGTTCCCAATCCAACTGACGCAATCATTCATCAAGTCGTCCCCTTGAAAGCAATATTGTGAACTTCTGCTACAAGTTCCCCGTTCCTTGAACAAATCTTTTGATATATTATACATCATGCAGAGAACCGATCAAATTGTCCCGGTGCTCAAAATTACGTATATTTTACGAGTTCGCAGTTACCCAGCCTCACCCCTACCAGTGAATAAAACAGACCACAATGTGAATAGTGAAATGTCAGTGATGCGGAACATGGACGGATTCCCGCCACAAACAAGTATTCCATATAGCAAGCAACAATGCAGGGGCACCAGTCTAATGGGAATGTCCATTTTCTCCAGTATATTGAGCAATGTTACACTCGACATTGGGCGTTTCCTGTGATCATACACGACTTTGATTTCCTCGCGTAGCAGATACTGAATCACCATGCGACAGGCAGAAGACATGGCAAGCAACAACAATTTTAGGAATGAAATTGAAATACCTGTACAGTATACCTCTGAGACTATCAACGAATTGGAAAGTAAACTATGCCTCGGTGATGGGCTAGTGTTCAGCCTCATTCGCGGCATTGAAGTTGCGCGACGTTGGCGTAGAGGTATATACGTCGGTCGATACAAAGATATGAGACACGCTGTTATTCATGTCCCTATGCACGTATCTCAAAAGCGCGACATACGAGCTAATGAGATTAGTCTGATCATGGAGGAAGGAAATCTTGTCGGCAATTCTTGCTGGGTGATGATCAACGAGTCTAGATACCGTGACAAATCGCCTTTGCATCCTGACGTCATCCTTAAAGTAGCAAAGATAATGCACCGAGGTAAAGCGCCGATGGTTGACAAACTTCTCAACAGCGACCTCGAGCAGCACTTTGTGGATCTTTGTCGATACGACATAGACTGGAGTAGCCAAGTTTTTGCAGCATACAATTATGGGATTAAAGGCGAATGGTATACCTCTGAGAATATCGCAGATTTGGAAGACGAGGTATGCCCCGGCGATAGGCTGGAGTTCTCACGTAAAGGGTGAGTTAACAAAAACAAAACCCAAAGGTTAGGATCATTGTTTTAATGAAGTTCTGCATGTAGCACTTTCAGGGATAATTCTAGGATATTAAAGCCGAATTCAATTCATAAGCTTTCTTTTAGTACAAGAATTGTTCAAATCGCTTGTGTACCTTTTAAGTTACAGAATTTTAAACACAACCACCGTTTTAAAGTTCTGTCCACGGATCAGAAGAAGGTAAGCATTATTTCAGCAAAACGAAAACAAATCACAAAGGGATGTGTGTGAATTGTTTTCGTTTTGCTGAAAGAACGCACACCATTTTTGTGATCGGTGGACAAAACTTGAAAACGGTGGTTATGTTTAAAATTCTGTAACTTAAAACGTACAAGACTGATTTGAATAATGTTTGTACTAAAAGAAAGCTGATGAATTGGGCTTTGATATTCTAGATTTTGAATGTGATACACGCACAACTTCACTTAAACAATATTTCGCTTTTTTTTTTTTACTTACCCTATATTCTGTCATTCATTTATAGATATGCTCACTGGGGCATATACGTCGGTCGATACTCAGACATGCCAGACATGCCAGACATGCAACACGCTGTCATCCATTTCGGTATGTTAGAAGGAGGGAAGGCATACTCCAGAAAGAAGATATCATGCATTACGTTCTGTGCCAGTCAAAGGCCCAAAATACTAGCTGGTACGATTGAGAAGATTCTCGGCGGTTCTTGCTGGGTGAGGATCAACAACTCAAGAGACAAGGACGTACCGCCTTTGAATTTGAATCCCCACGAAATCGTTGAAAGTGCGAAGAACATGTACGAAACCAAGACGCCGATTAATTACAACCTCTTCAGCAGAAATTGCGAGCACTTTGTGAATCGCTGTCGATACGATGATCCCCAAAGTGAGCAGGCTGATGCAATGTGCTTTTGTGCGTTGTCAATAGTAAGAATCGCAGTAGGTAAGAACATAAAGCTACAGCTTAAGCCCCTGTCACACTTTTGCGTATCCCAATTCCTTATGAGTTCCTTATCAACAATTTTCAATACGCAGCCGTACGATCAAAAACGTCGAATTTTGTTGATTACTTTGACTTATGTGCGACGCACATCTAGCGATAAAGTAACGAATTCAGCGCATCCACTGCGTATGAGATGCGTATGAGTTGCGTATGCAGTGCGCAAGTTCGCCATCTGTGCGTTTCTCATAAGTTACGAATAAGTACAATGCGCTGCCCGCTCGCAGGACGAGCGGTACTAATTCGTGCAATATGTCGGCATTCGATATGAGTTCGTTCAGCGTGCGTTGTATCTGCGCTGCAAGTACGCTATGTATACCCCCAATATAGGAGGTCAGCGTATTACCGCGTATGAACGG